CTCTCTCTCTCTCTCTCTCTCTCTCTCTCTCTCTCTCTCACTCTCACTCACTTTGTCGACGTGGGGGATTCACCGAGTCTGGAAAGAATGGCTGCTACCTCTGAACACCTAGAGAGTCGCTACATTCCAAGAGATTTCCCATTTGAATATACAACCATTCAGCCTTTTCTGCAATTTAGGTATGATTGCTTGCAGATTAAAGCTATCATGCACAACTTCTCATCTTTTGATATAGCATGACCACTTTGACCAACATTCCATGCATGTGTGTATATAATATCAGATCATACATGCATTCTCTAGACATGGACTGGGGACGAAAAATTATCTTGCTAACAAGACGTTCATGATATTTTGTTCTTAATCATGATCTTCTGATTTGATCATGCAGCTAATCTTATCAGTCGAAAACACATTACTTGTGGGTTGTTTGATCTCGAGGGTAATCCTCAAAAGCTTAAAGGGATTAAGTAGCTTCAAGTTCATCATGATCACTATACGTATCCTCTTTAATCCAACAGTATCACATTTCTCTCCGTGCTTGCTATCCACATGCAGAGGCTGTCCATGTGCACTCATGAGGAGGACATGAACAGCCACAGTCATGAACAGGAGGCAGAGAGACAGACCGCTTTATCCTGCAGAGTTTGTAGCTGGATTTCACTCGACTCAGCGGCTTATTCTCACTTTATCTCCCTCTTTACTGCGAATCACCACTTAGCTCCGACACAGATTTGTGCATGTAGGACTGTACCACGACGACAAAAGCAAAAGAAGCGTAGGTCTCAGTATCCAAGAATTCCATAGAAGAAACCTAAGACCGCGAGGCCAGACGTGGAAGCACACACGTAAACATATACACACTGAAACAATGAGAAAAAGAAAAGGGAAAAAGGATCTGTGAACAGGTAAACATGAGTCATGTTTCTCGGAATCTGGTTTTCCCATGTTCTTGCCAAGAACGAGGGCAATCTCCCGTCTCCCGTGCCTTTAGAATAATGGTGGCCTTGTGCCATGTACAAGCAAAGAGAACAGAAGACATAAAGAGAGAGAGAGAGAGAGAGAGAGAGAGAGAGAGAGAGAGAGAGAGAGAGAGAAAGAGAGATATACTACCAGAATTCCACGTTAATGTTGGTGTTTGGTTGGTGGTATGACCGATAGTTGCAGGTGATGGCATTTCTTTCTGCTAGGGAGAAGCAGCTTTATCTTTATCACCTCGATCATCCTCCTCTTGATGGTGAAAAGGAGGCCACCATAGTGAGACCACTCAAATTGGACTCACCCATTTCTCCAAGAGGATTTAGCTGATGCTTTTTGCCCATAACATACCACAGTTTAAAGGTTTAACCTAACGAGTTAAAGGGATGACTAGAAACATCATCTTCCTTGCAAAACCCCGGTAATCATCTGTTTCCTCAATACTGCAAACTTTATGGAATGCACTTAATAGTAACACTAAATTTGGTGATGATAAGTCTTCTGGTGTTGCAGTTTCCCAGTGCCAAATCTTGGTCAATCATGGATGAATTACCATGACCTTAATGGCCACAAACTTGATGAGCTTAGAGTGGATTCACTTAACCACCCAGAGAAAATGCTGGTCACCAATTATCTTCAACCCTAGCAATCAACAGCACCTTATACTTTATGCTAGAAGAAGTAAAAGGCATGAGCATCTTGATCTGATTAGCTACATACATTATGTATGCATAATTCTTCTAGAGATATGCCTCACACAAAGGAATGCCCTCTAATGAAGGTTATATATATCAGCACTTAGTATCTTAAACAAAGAATTACAATCTTGTTCCTCTTGATTTAGAAAGATATGTTAACCTGGAACACTTCAATGTGAGAATTTGAGTGATCATAAGCTGCAAGCACAGTAGAGGTGCAACTTCAGGAATGACAACATTCATAAAAATAATGTATCAAGTGAAATGAGTAGGTAAATCCTTGTAGACATTTGTTACTTGTTCATCATGTTGTGTGCTACCAATGTGGAGTGAAACATAAAGCAATACAATAAAGTATTTTCCAAATTACATATGACATTCCATATTATGATTTATGAATCTTCACTAAATAATTTGAAAAGTTATGAGAATGCTTTGCCAAAAAAATGAGCCTATGCATGAGTAAGCCATTGTTTAGTGAATGTGAAAGAATAACCAAAAAATATCTCTTACTTTTTTCTCCATTTTGTTTCTTTAGTGCAATTAAGCAAGAATGAAATTAGTGGTTTTCTTACATGCTTTATTCTGATCAGAAAGAATGCACTTTGACATATTGCATTCGAGTGTTTCATATCTTGAAACCTCAAAATCTAACATATACAGAGTAGCATGCCAATATTACATCATATATAAACATATTATAGAAAAGAATACAAGGAATTATATGGATATAAACAGAGGTAGAAACACAACACCAATGATGTGCATATCTGAGAGTTTTTACAAGACTTAGATATATCAAACACAATACAACTATAAAGATGATGTTAGACAACATGTCTTGGAAACCAAATCCTGTATTACATGCTAGTTGATCTGCCATACAATTTAGAGGATGAAGATAATAAATATACAAATATGTTCATGAATAGACTGGATGGAGCAAGTGCCATCTGCATTGTCCCCATTAACGATGTGGTCATCACAGGATGAAGAAATGGTAGCAATCTACTCATAGGCAGGGGACGGACACCCATGGTGATCTTTTCGGGAACTTGCCATGAAGCTGCTGAACCTAAAGGCCTGTCATGATGCAGACTCTTGAGCTGATCCACACCCCACACTGTGTAGTTTCCGCCCCTTCCGCATAGCTGGTGGAGTCTTATTGCAGGGATATGTTCACAAGGGCATTTGCTGCAGCAGGAGGAGCTTTTGTTGGCCTTACCGTGAACATGATACAGCCTGGAAAAGATTTGGTAAAAGCCTGCATTGACATGGGGATGGACCATTGCACTTTTATTTTCAGAAACATGCTAAATGATCGTGAACATAACTCGTGGATGATCGGCAAAAAGGCAATTAATGGGTCTAGAATAGCTGAAAACTTGAAGTTTTGACAGTGATGAACATTGGTTCTTGAACCCTTATTTTTGTAATTGAAAGAAAAGGGAGACATTAGAAGCATTGGAAGTCAGATCCTGAATTCTGATATTAATAATAACAGCCTTTGAGAACTTTTCCTTCTTGTTTTGTGTTGGTCCCACAAACCAAGGCATGAGATGATATGATTGTAACACATTGCTTTGTCATTCTATACTGGATGCTTATCAAATTATTTGATGTGAGGGCAACACAATCTTTTCTTCTGTTACCAAAAGCTTCCAGTATGTTCACAGTATCATTTTCAAGATTTCTGGGTTTTTCATATCATTATGCATATCCTACAAAAGCAAACAATTGTATTTGCAAATATTAGCAGTCCACTGTAACTCATCACTTCCTTTATGGACATGTACAAACCTCCTGCATCATTTAGACTTTTTAAGGCAGAAGAAAGAATTGCTAAATGACATGTAAAGATCGTGTTCTTTGCCAGAATATACTATCATGTATAAAGCTGCAGCTTAGTATTGAAGCATTTGCCATCCGACTGATGATTGGAACAATTACACATTAATGGCAACAAGCAGATGAAGCTACATGGGTAGAATTAATGAGAATACATGGTTACTGAAATATTTAGAAGCTTACAATGTGCTTTGGGGAGCCATATTCAACAGATGCGACTCCTCCATAAAAATTGAGGGTGATAACCTTACATCAACGCCATGGCACAATATTATGAATAACTCTTTCGATACTTGGGACATATTTCCCTAGGTTCATATTTCCCTAGGTTATGGCAGTTGTGACTATCTTCTCGCATCGGACTTAGCTTCCCCAGTTCATGCATAATAACACGCCAATTAACTCACAAATCAGCAACGCAGGCGATCTTACCAATTACTTCACCGTGTTAAACATGCAAAGACCATTCTAGCTATAGAACGGTAAAAGCTGATGAAGCTGTATCCATTGACTGGTCCACTGGTGCCTGTGTCCAAGCTTGAGCCTGAGCTTGAGCTTGAGCTTGAGCTTCCGCTTTCTTCTGCAGCTCCAGGAACCTGGTCATTTGCTCGAGCAATTGTGCAGCCTTTCTCTTGCCTCTATTGGTGCCACTTTCTACCATTTCCTGCAAGGGAACCATCATCCCTTGCTCCTGCAACTCAGCAAGATGTTGCTGCTGCTGCTCCCCATTACAGAGATGCACCAAGACAGCTGCTGCATTTTCCTTGTTCCTGGGTGACCCACTTCTTATCACCTTTACCAGCATTGGCAATGCCTCCACGGCCCTGATTGCTGCCTTCCCATCAGGATGACTTGAGAGTATCGCCATGATAGCTAGTGCTTCATCCATCATAGCTCCTTCTGGATCTGTCAAGAGTCCCATTAGTGTATGTATCACCCCAGCCCTCACAGCCTTTCCTTTGTTACCCTGGTAAATGCACAGGTTGAAAAGTGCCGTTGCAGCATCCTTCTTGCCCCTTTGGCTGCCTTCACTTAGCAGCAAAACAAGAGGGGGGATTGCTCCTGACTCACCAATTATGACTTTATTCCGGTCCACCACTGAGAGGCTGAAGAGTGTTGCTGCAGCATTCTCGCGTGCTTCCATGCTGCCCCTCTTAAGAACATGCACTATACCAGGTACAGCACCAGAGACAATTATCTTTCCCTTGTTCTCCTCATAGATAGAGAGGTTCAAAAGTGCAGTAACAGCATGCTCCTGTGTGCGCACATCCTGCATAGATAGCAAATTCACAAGAAGAGGTATGGCACCAGCCTCCGCTATGCAGATCCTATTGTCAGTATTCCGCTTTGCAAGAAGGCGAAGTTCGCCGGCAGCTGATCGTTGGTCCTCAAGGTTTTGTGATGATAGCTTGTGAAGAAGATCAACAACCTTAGCATGTTCACCTGCAGAGCAAACTGACAGAGGCTTGCCAGTTCTAGCTGGGAGCTTGGGAGGATCCATGCCATTAGCCTCACACCACTGAGCTATCAAGCTGCGAAGGACATAGTTTGGGGTCAGTGAGGTACTGGATAGTCTCTGTTGTGTTTTTGGGCATGTGTTGTGCCCTGCTTCCAGCCATTTCTTAATGAACTCCCGTTCATAAGTCTGCAAAATAGGGAACATATGTTTCAGTAATCTTCAAGTCTCACGGAAGGTATGGCAGAGGGAATAGAGACTTGTAATATTTAGATACCTGTCCAGTGGACACAATCACTGGATCTCCCATCAGTTCAAGGGATATAGGACAACGGTAGTCATCAGGAACAACAGGAGTTTTACTTGTTCCATGAGAAGGAATAACCATGGCACTCATTGGAGTGCCCATTTCTGGTTTTTGAGTCTGGACAAAATCCTTAATCCTTTTTAGCAGCATTGACATCTTTTCAATAACTTCTCCAGGATCACCACTGGCATCAACCATCTCATGCAAGGCAAGTGATTCTTGCTTGAGGTCTGATATGGTCATCATCTGTAATTTTTCTGCCAATCTCTTCAGGATGGGAGAATCTATTCTGGCATCAGCATTCATATGACAAACACTTGACAAATCAGCATACAATTCAGGATCAGTAGTATCGATCCGTTCTTTGGCTCTTTTAAACTGGGCATGCACGAGCTCAACCTGTAAAGGATGCTAAACTTGGTAGGCATGAAACTGAACAAATTGAAAGATAAATGCTATCAAATATTCTGAAAGTTAGAGGGTAATAATTTTTCTTGCAGATCTAATTTATGAAACAAGTAATTAAGGATAATTATGTTAAAAGAGGGGATATTATTATTGGTGGATCTACCTGTTCTTTTACTTCATCTGATATGTCAATCTCATTAAAGGAAATTTCATTTAATGCCACTTCAAGTTGAGATGTAATTTCTTGGAATCTTTCCATTATTCTATCTCGCTCCAGGACCTGGAAAAATAAAAGCAGAAATCGGTGACTACAGAATCCAACAACAAGACTCCATCAGAAATTCAACCTAAGATGTAAAGAAACAAGCCAGCAAGAAAACACATACTAGATATGTTTCTTTGTTCATGTTCCAACCGAAACAATGATTAGTTCAGATGATTAATTTTATACATCACATGCTACCAAAAAGTTCAGACATGATAAAGAAAATCACACTTTGTGATAGAGAAAACTACTTAACCCTTTTTGTGTCAAATTGCTACTTTACCGAATGGTCTAAATGATTCTTTTTTCATTAAGACAACGAATTTATACCAAGCTTGTCAACGTACAATATATGCATTGCTAATTTTCGACCTCTTATCCAGGACTATATTGGAAATCTCAATATCTTCTTAGTTTGTGCAAACTTGCACTAAATTTAGAAAAAAAAACAATTTGGAGAATGGTTTCAAATTGGGACTTTGTAGATGAGTTCGAAATGGAAATACTCATCCATAAATTGGGAGTTGGAGTTCATGGGTAAGTTCAAGCATTCGTAGTCACATGGTTAAAGATATGGTCTATTTCATTCATTGTGCCAGTAAATTTATCGGGTCAAAGCATGATATATAATCATGACAAATTGCAGGATTGAAGTAGGAAACAAATTCTGGCCCATGATTGATAATAGTATCCCGACCCCCTTGTTTGGTGGACCAAATTCAGGTAATTGGTTTTTCTATTTGATTGATTATATTGACAAACTGAATGTTACTAGATAAACTTGACGAAAAAACAAAGAACAGAACTTTACCAGATGACAGTTGTATACACTTCTAAACCCATTTTTTAGAAGCCATCATTGAAATCACATAAACGTAGTGCAAGTGGCGGAAAAAAAAAATCGTACTAAGCCTTGTCCGAAAGAATAAAGAAGAAAAATCAACCAAAAGATCCAGCACGCAGCTCAAGTTTGCAGCATCAAAGATACGCAGAGCTAAAACAAGAGAACTTTGTCTCAAGCAAAGAGTTACTACCAAGAGTTCAAGCGAACCAGAAAGAGAAAAAGATACCACATTTCACATATAGGAAGGGAAGCATAAGGAAGAAGCAAAGCAGCTCCGCCGATGCCGCTTCAACATACCAGGAAGATCTTGCTCCCTTCGCTCCCCAACCGGAGGAGGTCCTTGGCCGAATCGAGAGCCCCGTTGAGCTTCTCAAGAGCTCTGACCGCCCGAGGGGGGATCGGATCCTTGCTCTCCTTGAGTTCCTCGAACATGGGCGCCAGCAGTTTGATCCGCCGCGAGAGGTTGCAAAACTGTTTCTTGTAGGCATTCCGGTAGTCCGAGATGGCGGCGATCTCCTCCACCGCCGCCATCAGACTCTCCACCACACTTCCTGCCGCCGCCGCCGCCAGCACTGCCGCTTCATTCTCTCCTTCTTCCATCGCTGCTCGACGAATCGGCCTCTACTCCACCGAGGAATCGCGCGGAGCTCGAAATTGGCGACCGATTCACCAAAAAATCGAGGAATTTGCAGTCAAATTTCAGATATGTTTCGGGGTATCAAGAAGACTTTTTCCCCCTCTCAAGGCGAGCGGAGGAAGTGGGCAGAGAAATGATGAGAGAGCCGCGGCAGACGCAGCTATACTTCGTCTCCGAAGGGGATCCACTACGAGCATAATTTCAAACTTTTCTTACAAGCTCTTGCATCGACCGTCCAATTCCGAACACTTCACGATTCATCGGGATTTGATCAGGATCGACAATTTACAATAACTGGAGGGGATCGTCCCAGCCTCCAAACTGGTTAATATACACACACTATTAACCTATTCTTATTACCGGCGCGCTCTTATAGTCGGCGCGGCTTGGAGCCGTGGCTTTGGATGAAGCAAACACTATTTTAATGATGCAGCAGGTGGTGGACTGTGGACCTGAGAAGAGTCAAGTGGGAAGGTGCTGTCTAATAATGCCATGGGCCACACTGGAGAAGACAATGTTGCCATGTAGTGCCCATTGGATCAAAGTTCTACTTCCCCACAAGCTGGATTTGATTGGATGGGCAGAGTTGAGGGATGAAAGATAAATGACATGTGGATTATGATAAGAAAGCTCATAGAATTTCTAATTTGAAGATGGACTTTTTCTGAGCATAATTGCATGAGTATTTATAGAACTAGCAATGAATTGTAATTCAAAGAGGAAACTTATTGCATGTCAATTAAAGCAGGCAGAATAAAGAGAATGGTTGAGGATTGATGCAAAGAAAATTCTCCTATGGACACTCATCACAATCATTTGAAACTTCATAATGGAAATTTTTGGAGCAACTCCAATGGTCAATGCAGCAAGAGAGTAGGGCAGGACATGAAGATTACGTAAGAGTCATTAGATGCTACTTTATGTACTTATATTGTTTCATATAAATTCTTATATAATTCCAGATTTGCATATTTGTCCTCCAATTTGTCTATGGATCTATGATTGTTTGAACTGAGTTAATATCTTGTCTTGAAATCAAAATGACCAATATTACACTTTTGAATATGACAAATTATAAATTATTCTAATCTTATATTTACGAAAGTAAAATATTGAGATCCCTATACAAGATTAAAAGGATAATTTCATAGAACTAAAAATTTAGAACAACGATTTCGAATAACGGAGTTAATTGTTTGACTTTCGTAAGTACGAGTATAATTTATAATTACAGAGGATAATTTATAATTAATTCTCTGAATATAATATTTAGTGACATAATACTGTTATTGTCTAAATAGCACTTCTGAACATAAATTTTTGGTTGCAGAACTCTATTTTATTTTGGGATGATCAGTTCATGGTTCCTATCAACAACCACTATGATTTATTTATCTTCCCCTTGAGAAGAGCATCAACCTGTCAGTTGACCCATCAAACACAAAGTGAACAGACCACACCATTCATGCCTTACCTTTTAAATAAAATAATACTGAGAAGCAAGGAAAGCAAAACTAATGCCTTGTCGATGATCACGTTGACAATATGGATCTCTTGAATTAGAGCACAAGAGAAAACCCAAGGATAATAAACAAATGCAAAAGAATTACCACTTTTAGTATTTTCCCTCATATTAATCATCACAACAGGGAGGAAGGTTTCAGCATGCACATGCACAATTATTATTATTATTATTATTATTATTATTATTATTATTTGTTGAAGGCCTCCGTGTAGGTAGACTGGATCAAAGCAGGGTCTGGTCATGTTAAACCGGTAATTTCCACGCGGCCACAGACCTCTTCGGTCTTTACAGATCCATGTAGGCGCTGACTGAGAGTGGGACCCACATTGTTCGACGTGGTTTGCAGAAACCTCGCGCGGCGGCCCCCGCATCTCCAAGCCTGCATAGGACAGAAGCCTTTGGCGACGCGAGAGAGAGAGAGAGAGAGAGAGAGGATAAGCTACGAGGCTTGTCGCGGAGAAGATAGAGACCAAGGGGCATATCGCACACCACGTGTGCTTTAAAGCGGTAAGACTCCGACTGCGTTGACGTGTCGAAGCGTGAGGCGATCGGCGCTTAGTTTCGTGCTAGTCGTTCATGAGCGGAGCCTTTATATATTTAGATTGATGATGGCTTTCCAAAACAGTAAAAACCAGGCTGCAAAATCTAGTTTCTCTTCCATTGTTCTTTTCAGATTAAAAAGAAGTGCAACAACACTACATTAATAACATAAAACCAACATTCAATGATGATAACATTAATCAAACATGCATCTTTCCGAGAAGCACACCCGCATTAAGGTTTCGACATAATAACTCAAAAACTGTAACAGGGAGGGAATGAGAGAGAAGCTAGAAAAGTCGCACATCCTAAAAGGTCCAAATCCTGGGGTGCTGCTTCTGCTACAGCCATGGCAATCATCAATCATCTTTACTTCTTTTTATCGCTCACTCCAGCAGACCTACATACGACAGAAGGGTCTATTAACATCTCCACGAAACATAAGTGCAGGTTATCAACCCTACCTAAGACAGCATGAGCCTCAAGTCAAAATAATTGTTTCTACATAGTGATGATTGTACTCATCAACAAGCAAATCAATAACCACTTGAAGTTTCTAGCCACAAGACACCTAACATATATTTCCACGATGAATAAACCTGGTGATGATACATGTCTAGGAATCCAATACTGAGAAATCTGCTAGTGCAAAATGTATAAAGGACATAATATTGGAAAGGAGAGCATAAACACCAACCTCATTTTCCTCAGAACGTTGGCCATCTCCTCACGCTTCTTCTTGGCCCTCTTGTGTGTACCCAACTTGCGCTTTGCTACTTTCAATGCTCGCTTGTCCTTCCCGACTTTAAGGAGCTCAGTAATCCTCTTCTCATAAGGAGCAAATCCAGCAACTTCACGGATTATATTTCTGACGAAATGCACTCTTTTGCTTGTCTTCTGTAGAAGAGTAAAAGCATATGACAAATCAAAACAACCAAGCTTAAGAATGATAACTTGCAAATGATTTATGACTTCAATTTTTCAGGAAGCAACTATAGCTGTACCAACTTCTCACTGCAAATAACTTGAAATGTCGAGAATAAAATAATAATCACAATCCCATCATAATATGAAAATATTAGAAATGTTCTAAACATGCATTGTTTTAATCCTAAACATTTCTTACACAAGTCTTGATGAGTAAGGAAAAACACAAGTAAAAAAAAATGCTTAGCAGAGTTAGCAACCATTTTAACTGTTTATATTGACATTTTATTTGGAGACACATGAAGATTATTATGCTATCTTCAAAAACAACAAAACCATAACATCCCAACCATTTGGGATTGGCTAGATATACCTTTTGCTGCCACTGGGCCTTTGAACTTGAGCTTTATTATTAGGTAATTATAGCACCTACTAAATATCAAGTAAGAGAGACGTAGCAAAACAAAAATTTCTAGATGGAACATATTTCAGAACCACAATGAACAAGCATCAACATCAGACCACTTATTTCACTATTATTTACATCAACTAGATTTTTCCCGAACAATTTATAATTAATACTACACAATACGACTCATAGTGAAAATCCTCAACGGCAGAAGAAGCTTTAATGATGTATCGTCAATAGCAGAAGAAGAATATTTCAGCAGAAACTTAGCAGGGACAAGTTCCTAAATCCTTCCTTGTATACATCCATGAGATGCAGTAATCAATATATAAAATCAAATAATGAAAGATTCAGATTCCGAAAAGAATTAATACCCAACAACAGAAAAATAGAATTTCATAGTTCCAAAAAGCTCATATAGTGAAGAATTAATAAAGGATGCTACTTTCTCAGCTGAATTACCTGCCTTACCCAACAATGGGTATGGCAGACAATTCAAAAAGCAAGAAGCCAAAGTAGAACACACAAGTTGGCCCCACAGCAGCCACTTCAATCACCTCCCTCACTTGCAAGTCAAGCAGGAATCGACTAAAGTGCCATCTCATGAGCTAAAATTTTGTTAATGGCAACAAATAAAAAACCATATAAAATGCCTCCTAAACCTACGAAGACAGGCCATGAACACTTCTCTTGTAATGGTTCATTTCACTTTCATGAATCAATATTCATAAGCAATTAAACAAGTAAAAGAGAAATATAACTCAGGGATACATGTTAACTATGAGTTTTCCTATAATTATCAGAATCTTATTTATAACTTTTGAAGAACAAATGCTGAGTTTCTCAAAGGATTTTTTTGCCTAAAGAATGATAGCTCTTATAGTAACTATGGTTCATATAAAGGTGAAATTCAGCATACAAGTCTCCTGCCATTTGTAAGGAGAAGGTTAGGATGCACATCCTTACCCCTGCACATCATCAGGCAAAACTAACTATCACAAAAAAAGAAAAAAAAGTTTAAATATTCAACAACTTTTCAGGTTCATTATTCTGTTTTCTTGTCATTTTTCCTTAAGCCAAATTACTAAGAAGTGGCTCTCTTCTCTCCATACCTTGCACCTCCGGAGAGATCAGCATGGGCTTCCTAGAGTCAAAAACCTCATTAAGTACTAAATGAGCCACTAACTATAGTGACCAAATCAACACATCGGAGCAACAAACACAAAATTTCATTTTCTCAAAAAATAGCATATCAAACTCTCAGTAAACGAGAAAACAAAGAATTTTTGGCCGTTACAAAAGATGGTTGAACTCAGGATTTAACTCGAACTAGCCAAATAATACATCAAAATGATATATGCTGTGGCTAACAACGTGTCGTTTCTTCATTAACAGTAAATATGCTGCATATTCCGTGCTTCGTTGCACAAGTTCTATCAGTACATACCAGAAAAATTAAAAGAAAGGGAAAAAAGGTCATACCCCCTTTCTGCTAGAAGGGCGAGGAGCCAGCTCCCGCTTGGTAACAATATGACCCTTGTTCAGGCCAACAAATAAGCCGGTGTTCGACTGTGGAGGAGCCATCGTTTACCTCTGTTAAAACCAAAATTTTTATGAGTTTTCATCGCACACCACCAATAACGACTACAAACAATTCATAGATCAACACAAATAGATACAGAATCAAAACAAATCCCGTTTTTTAGCGTCATCAAAGCCAAATCAGGAAAAAAAAAACACATCTTTAGAGTTCAGTCCAGGATTCAACAATCGCATAAAGAATCTCATCGAGAAAATTTGCGAGATATTGTATTAGTACCGAGAAAGGGAACAAGATTTCCAATAGAGAAGAAACAAATGCTTATCACCTCTCTGCAGCGACGGAACCCCTGGCGGCTACGACGAACCCTAACCGCGGAGAGGAACGAAACGCTTATAAAGGCGCCGAACCTTTAACGAGAAGACCAAAATAGTGCCAGTCGATCTCTTATTTACCGTAACGCCCTTATACTGGATCCCGACCGTCCAATTATTTTGAACTATTTGGAGGGTTTAGATTAGTTGGATGTCGATTGACCCATTTCAAGTCATCATCTCTTAATTTGGATCCATGTGCAACCTATTTGGCACCAAAATTACTTGCATTAAGAAGATTCATATGATCATATACATCCCATGATAAAAGGGCAGCATCAACATAAGGCTGCTTGCTTGTTATACAACTATAATACTGTATGTATTTAACTCTCTTTAAATCCTTATTGCATTAAACTATATATATATATAATGTTGCTGAGGACTGATCATAATTAATCTACTCATTACGCACCCTAATTTCCACTACATGAGGAACGGCAGAAGAAAGAATGACGGATTACAATTGACAAGCATATAAAGCACAATGGGCACTGTGCAGCAGGGATGCGAGCAAGCAGTCGATATCAAGAGTTGCTCCGAGTAATGGAGTAAGGTCAAAATCCATCATGCATAGAAATATTGTTCTATCACCATCTTACAGCACCCTCATGAATCTGAATTAACATACAAAACAAAAAAAAAGGAAGCATTGAACAATCATGTCTCGAGTTTAAATCTCCATAAGCAAAAGGAGAACAGAGAAGCCAGGATAACCCCACACCCTTCTTACATTCTGTAAGGTTGCATAAGGTTCAAATGGTGGCACGTAGGATTGCAGGGATAAGCGCAGTCGATTTCTTGGACTTTAGCTCTCCCGAAGTACCAGTCGCCTACAGCCTCTGCAAGTGTCTGCTCATCAAAACAATTGTCCAACAAAAGTCAGTGGATCTTCAAGTGAGGTATGTAAAAGCATTGTGGTAAGCAGGATTTTACATCTAAAACTAACTTAAATAAGCTGCAAAAGAAACCGAAAATATTCTTTTTTTCCAAATGAAAGGCTGTTGTATCTCACAAGCTTTTAGAATCAACAGATTGGGCAAGAGAGTAACATGGTTGATATTTCAGCATATGAATTATAATGGTACAAGGAGTAACTGTATCTGCAACTTATTTTCCACTGGTAAAGTATGAGTGAAGAGTATGATAATTGTTGCATTGGTTAATTTATCTTGATGTAAAATTTAGGCTTAAGAATTCTACGCATTTTTCTCACACATTCCATAAATTGCTTGCCACATTATTAATCTCAACATAGAACTCAATTGTATCACCCTATACATGGAGAGTTATCCCTACAACTAAAACATGGCCTGTTGAACAGGATCAAAACCTTGGCATGCCTATTGAAATAAAATATGGCAGCAGGCCTAAGCTGGAAAAAAAAAGGACTTAATATTGAACTACTTATCTAGACAAACCTTAACTGAAGCATTAATCTGAAATACCAGATAGCTACTGTTAGCCCTTTTTTCTCTTCGGAGGTCAGTGCCAAATTCTATTTAATAAACCTTCCGCTAGAAGTTCATCCAAGAAACTAAACATACTAAAATATACAGCCGTCTAGCATATGCCACGGTCTGTTCTATTGCCAAGCATGTTGGTATTTTAGTCTCACTATGATCCATGTGTGATCATGTCAGCTTATTTCATGAGATATCATGATATCCATATCTCAATTCTCAGTGCTTTTGAAACCGTCAAATGATAAGCCATATTGCTTAATACATCCTGACATTTGTACAGAAAACCACAACTTTGAGGGAAACATAATTAAGCAAGACATAGTCCTTACCTTATTGTTAACTCGTGGAGAATTTGATGAATGCCAAGTGAAATTGTAAATTGTCTGACAGTGCACAAAGCAGGAATTTATAAACATGCCTCCGTTATTGTTCTTCTTAAACTCACTCAGGGCATTCAGCAAGGCATACCTAAATCCTGTTTGAATAAATTTGCTCCCAGCAGTTCAGTCATAACATAAGCTGATCTCATGTAAATTAAAAAGAACCAAAGGCTACGAGTAAATGATTAAACTTTGTTGTAAACAATAACCTTGCAGCGACTTTATCTGGTTGGAATCACAATTGTGAATGTTCAGCTTGCATCGCTGCCATGATTGTTGGGGATCAGATGAGGCTGGTACAAAAATGTTTTGTATCTGTCATAGTGGATCAATAGTGACAACAAATACTTCAGCAACCTTACATTGTCATGAAGAGAAGACATGACGGATATGCAAATACCTGCCAAGAGTCATAGGCTGGGTTGAGGATGAAAAGTGGAGTCTTCACATTCTTAATAATCTCTTCTGCGAAGAAACACTGGGAATACAAGTACATGATGGACCAGGAAAAGAGTTCAGGGGCTTGAAACTTAAAGCAATTAGAGACTAGGAAAAACAAAATGGTAATCAACCGACTTGTGATATGGTAGATAATCACAATCACCTGCCTGAGATGGTTCCATCCTTGAGATGCAATCTGGAAATTTTTTTCCTACATCCTGAAAAAGAGAAAGAATCAATAACTCCAGAGCTTAAAAGAAAACATATAGAATTGGCTATTGTTGCAATGGAATCTACAAAGCAGGTTTCTAAGAATGGCCAATCCCAGAACCCTGTACTTTTTATGGGATCATCAGAATATGCTGGAACTGTCCAATCCACTAGTCACCCGCCAGTCAGTCCACTTCAACCAATTCCAGCTGATGCTAACCGATTCCCAGCATTCCCATCGAAATTTTGGTAGTTCACAAGAACCCAGATCCCAAGACACTACTAGCCCCATCCATCTGATCTAAACCGATTGCAGTCCTACCACTTATGGTTAATTCCCATACCAAATTACTTTTGTAGCTACGCTAACCGTAAAGAAGAAAATTTGACCCTGACTGGCAAAAAGACTACCAGACAGAGGTTTAAAAGCACTACAAGCATCACCAATGGAATAGGAGGTTCTAGAACAAAATATTCAAATAACAATCTATGGCAAAGCAGAACTTCTATATGCTCAATTAAGTATTCATGCCATCCAATAAAGTACCAAGGTTTAGATAAAATACAAAGAAAGGGAACAAAACTAACGAAATGTAATTTCAAATAAAATATACATCTTTTACTACCTTACAAAGACACTATTGCTCGAAGTCATGATTACAATATCAAGTCCTTCATATTGACATATTAAAAACTTCAGTTGATGATCCTTTCTTCATTGTTTACGCGTAGAGTGAGTTGTGATTTCTTGACACTAGTCTCGTAATTGGACTGATGCTTCTGCAAAAGTGGTCTACAGTTTTACACCATGGCCTCAATTATACAAGATAACAGTGCAAAGGATTGTGCATACAAGGTATGGCTGCTCCTTCCATTTTTGGTTGTGAACTAAGTACCACTTTTGATATCAGCCTTATTTGGTTGAGAAAAGCATTCTCTCTCTGCATTCAGTTGTGAATTTGATAATCACCAGCCATAATTACCTTTCTAGGTGTAATTTGAGTCCAAGTCAATTATATACAAGATCATCCACATCGGTTCCCCTTGCTCTAGTTCCAAGGTGAAATACTTACAATACCACATATCATTATGACATGCCGCATGACAATATCACATCAGGACACTAAACATTTTGTTGACAAGATTAAAATTTTTGGTTATACATAATAATATTCACTATTTGCTCAAACTAACTCTTTGATTAAGTTCTGTATGGTCATTAGGGTTCAATGATGGCAGATCAAGGTATGATATAGCCAGACAACTTCAGACGCTTGAAAAACTGTGTTTATTGCTTACCAATTCCCAAAATTTTAGGATGAAGAGAAGCCTGTTTTGGCCTTGATTCAAACATAGACCTCTAAAGGAAAAACTGATTAAACAATATTGCTCAAGCTTTCCTTTGTTTACCATCTTTTGCTTTAAACTTGCAGTAAACTTCATTCAATTTAAAATTTTAAATGATATGGGGGAAAATTGGGTTGAGAGTTCCAGAGTCTTACCAAAATGAATTTGAATAAGGGTTTTTTTTAGACTTAACATGTCTGGTCTGATGAATTGACTTTGTGTGCCACCTTGATCCTACAAAATCTATAATATGGACAAGGAAGTACAGATATATATATATATATACATATATATCTCTATAATGATGTACAAATATACAAATATGCAAATATACTCATTTTAGCGATGCAGCAGCATACTTTGAGTTGAATGGTATGTTCTGAAACTAAAAGAAATCAGCACATGGTGGCTAAATACATGCTAGGTAAGCATGAAATTAGGAACTTCATATCTCTAGACCACACCAAACAGCATTTGGGATCCATGAGAGCCTTAAATCTTGGCCAATAGCCTAAATATTCCCTGATTAACAATGGATAATGAATCTAGATAATTCATGTATATGGCCCCACAAAATTTCCCGTTAAATTAAAATATTGGAGAGAATTTAGAGAAAACAGTTATAGTGCACAATTGAGACAACAAACCTGAAGGCGGACCACATTGCTGTAGAATGACTGAATGTAACTTTTTCCAGATATATCCTTTCTGTGATAAAACAGAAAAATAATTACCGGGTATACACCAACCTAAGGAGACAGAATAAGCAAGGCTGATGATGATTAATCCTAGTAAAGGTTATTTTCAGACATGTTAGACATGGCCAAGCAAGTTGTTGAACAGATGCAGTCAACCATGGCCAGTTTTAACCTAAATACAGAGTAAAAAAACAAGCACAGCGCAGATTATTATAATGACTTCAGAATGTAATTAACAGAACTAATTTCATGAAGCATGAGACATGAGAAAATAGTTACATCACTCAAATTATTCACTTTTAGAAGTGTATAAGTGATCCAAGAGTTTCAGACAAGTTTAATCAAAGAAACCCTTCCTTGGTATATGTTACTATCATAATTAATTGAATTTAAGATTCAAAAAGCTGTAGTATATCAACCCTCAGATGAATTTTAAACGAAAAGAATGATGGACTGTAAGGAATCTTGTCAAAGACATACTCGTTGAGAAAAAAACCAGCATCTGCAAAACATTTAACAGTGATCTCCTTAGGGAGAAGTTCACGAAATTCATCACAATGGATGAAAGTGGCAAGACCTCCAGCAGAACATCCTGTAAGAAGTGCCTGAAAAGAAAAACTTGCTTCAAGCTTTTAATGCATGTATCTCCAATAATATTTACAAAATTAAGTACTAAATTTAGCAATACTAGAATCAACCCAGCATCCAAGTGTTGCTATACAACAGTGGTATATATTAAAAATGTATAATAGAAGCTGTGAGATAGTTATATTGTCTGAACAAATAAATGTAAATATATTCAAACTTGGTTAAGATATGACCTGTTTAGCATTTGCAAGTCCTTTCTGTAAGAGTTCACCCATAATTGCTTTCCAAATCCGTTGACCTCTAAAGAAAAGTTTCGTTCCATCCTGTACATAATCCAAAATGATATATGAATCATATTATTTTCCCAAACTTTTGTTATCCTAAGTTCCTAACTATTTTAAAACAGCCATAACATGTAGCACAGTAAACATAATCAATATATGCCATTATATGTACCTGGGTTTCACTTTCTCCCTCCCCAGAATATGATGCACCATCGCAGTACCGCACCTTAACTTTGTTCCAGTTATGGAAATCTGATACAGGAAAGAAAAATGAGAATTTTGGAGGTCGTTAGTGAATTGAAGCACCAAATTACATTGATCACCAAGAATGTAATAAATATATGGGGATGTATAACATCGTAACTTCTACGTGGGCATGGCTCTATCAACAGCATGATCTCCTATATACAAACATTTTTTAGTCTGAATTCTCATCTAGCGCTCCATGAGTTCATGTTCAGTACAAAGTTAGTTTTTTCATCCAAAAGTATGTTCAATATTTTTTTTAAAAAAAATTCATTCATTAAGTGCAAACCATATATTACCAGTACATATAAACAGCTAGTAGCAAAGTTAGCCATTATCAATACATGGAGTGACAAACAAGAAAGAAAACGTTAAACCTTGTCATGAATGATGACCCTTGCAAAGTATGATGCATTGAATGAATGCCAAAAGTAACAAAAGTATAGCATTAAAAAACTTAGAAACATGAGATATAATTAAACATATTTACCAGGATTTTGTGATGGGATGTTGCTCAAAATGCCAACAAAGGGAACCTGACGTTCCATGTGGTGTGATGAACCTACTGGTGTGGATTTGCGCAAAGAGCATGATTCCAAAGAACTACACCAGCCTCCACCCTAGAGTTCCAAACAAGTCAGAATGAGCAGTCAAACTGCAACAATCAAATAGAAAGCCAATTAAATGGGAACATAATTTGCCGATATTTTCTTATTAGCAATATGAAGAAGATAGATTTGCCTAAATCCTTGGCAATATTGAAAGTGAAATAAGGCTTCGTCTCGTTATGAATGCAGCATAGGAGGGAAGAAAAAAATTAATAATCAAAGATCAACAAAGATATCCACACCCAAAACTCAAATCTCAAGCTATTCAAAGAACAATCGATAAATTTATCTAAAATCAGATGAAACGAATTACATTAGCATATGTTATGAACTGCATTAGGATAGATTTATCCAAATCCAAAGTTATTTTTTTGATTCGATCACTTCAACTAAAGACCAAACGGTAAAAAATCATTTTTAAATCTAAAGTAATCTTAGCCAAACCTTCGAGATAGGAGCACCTAACAGAAAAGCCATGGCTTTCTTACCGAAACAATTTCAAGATCCAAATGCCAAAGAGCGATCAACAAAAGTGATTCTGAGAAGCGAATCGATGCCAGATGTCTTTTTATTACCTCCAAGTGCACAAGCCAGCTGTCCACGCCAGAGCCAAACCCCCTCTGTAGATGATACCCGGGTGGGCTCCCATCCAAACACACTGCAGAATCATAAGCGAGGAAGATCGACATAACAAAGAAAAGAAGATATCAAGTCGAGATCGATAAGAAACGAACGAGCTTCAAGTCTTACCGGCGCCTTTCTCCTCGGCGTCACGAACGAGGGTGAGATCGACGAGGGCTGGATCCGAGGACGAACGGGCCAGGGTCCCCGTACCCCCGAGAGCAGTGTCACCGAGCCGAGAGCCGGCGGCGAGGAAGAGGACGATGAAGAGGGCGGCGAACACCCAGGCGACGGTGGCGCGGCGCTCCGTGCCCCATCGCCGCCTCCACCAAAGCTGGAGCTGGTGGACGTCGCCCATTGCCATTACAGCGGGTTCCCACCCCCCCTAGGGTTCGAACAAATCCGATCCCGAGGTCGACGATGAAGTCCACCAACCGGAATAGTTATTATCATTAATACCCGCATATGCAGTGATAAATGTGCTATTTTGAACTTTGTAAGGGACAAATTTGCAAAAAGCATCACGTGATGAATTTTTATTTTGTAGGGGCCAAATCGAAAAAATTGTAGGGACTTAAAGGTTAATTTTACTATCTCCAGATCTCTCTCTCTCTCTCTCACAGACAAATATATATATATATATATATATATATATATATATATATATATATATATATATATATATATATATATATATATATATATATATATAT